CTCCAAAAGATTTTAAAGCTCATTATAATCTCCATGTTAACAAGCACCATGACAGTTGAAAATCACCATGACAACAGCTGGAAAAGAATATACAAAAAGAGGGTGGAACCCTGATCCAGAGAAAGCCACTGCCCCTTTTCCCAGAAAACCTATGGCTATTCGTCCTATTTACCTAAATATCCTCTTCATTTCTACTATCCTATTTAGACCACCTCTCGACCACTAAAGACCAGAAGTTGATGTGAGAGCTGCATACCACCCACTTCTCCATTCAATGGCCATAGAGTAAAAGCTTACACTGCTAATGTTCACTTTTATTCTTGCAATTAGCTTTGCAACACCAAATTAAAACCCCGCTTGGGGTCCTCAAAAAGAGGACATTTGCCCCTTGGTAACTGAGGGCAGGAAACACTCCCTCCCAAGACCCACCCCACCATCATTACTATGCAGAGTTCAGACTTTACGCTGAGGGGAGAAAGCCATACCTCTGAGGCTCAGGTGCACAGGCCTGTCTGACCAAGGCTGGAGCAGAACTGAGAAAACTCCCTTGCCACTGAAGAGCCTGTGTCGTAAAAACAAGCCAGCTATTCCTGGGGAAGGGGCAGGAGCATGGAGAGAGAGTCCCTCTGGGGTGCAGGCATGCAGGGAGTGTTGAATGCTGAGACTCGGGAATACTAATAACTGAATTCCAGGTCTCAGACTAAGAACAAATAGCATCAGCCCACCATCAGAAATGAGGAATTGCTTAGACGTGCTATCAAATAGTGACACAGCAGAGGAAAAAATTCATGAACTTGATAGGTCAGTAGAAATTATCCAAACTGAAACAAAAACATGGAAAAAATAAAAGCACATTTAAGAGTTCTGACAGTATCAAATGTGTAACTGAAGTAGCAAAAAATGTTTGAAAAGATATTGGCTGAAAATTTTCCAAAGTCAATGAAAGTTAACAAACTACAGGAAGCTCAGCTCCAAGCAGAATGAACACAAAACCAAAATAAAGATGGAGACAATCTGGAAAGCAGAAAGAAAAACGCAGTAACAAAATAAGAATTACAGCAGACTTTTCATTTTAAAATCACTTATGTAAGCTAGGAGATACTAGGATGACATTTGAAGTACTGAAGGGGGGTGGGGGGGTGTCAGCCCAAAATTCTATACCCAGTGGAAATATCTTTGAAATGTGAGAGTGAAATAGACATTTAGTTTTCACCGTAAGTGAGTTCAAAGCTTTCCATCGCCATCTTGAGAGGCATCTATGTTTGCTTGGATTTCAAGTGCCCTCTGAGAATATCAGCTTCTCAGTGTTCTAGATTTTCCTTAGACATTTCTTTTTTTTTTACTTTCTATCTTGAAATAATTTCAAACGAGAGAAAATTTGCAAGAAGAATAGTTCTAAGAATTTCTGTATGCCCTTCACTTAGATTGCCATTTAATATTATACTGCAAATATTTGCTTTGTAACTTCATATGTATCTATGAATATTTTTTCCAATGCCTCATCCTCTTACTACTTCAGTGTGTATTTCCTAAAATATAAGGACACTATCTACAAAACCACAGTAAACTATCAAGCTCAGGAAATTAACTTTGATGCGGTACTACTATCTAAACCACTGATACCATTCAAATTTCACTGATTGTCCCAAGAATGTCCTTTATAGGTCCAGAATCCAATCTAGGATCACTCACTGTATTTGGTTGTAATATCTCTTTAATCTCTCGGGAATAGCTCCTCAGTCTTTCCTTGTCTTTCATAATGTTGATAGTTTTGAAGAGTGCAAGCAGTTATTTTGTACAATAATCTCAATTTGGATTTTTCTGTCTTGTAAGTAGATTCCATTTATGTACCTCTAGCAAGAATATCATAAATGATGCTGTGTTCTCTGCATTATATCAAGGGACACAATTTTGACTTGTCCCATTATCAATGCTGTTAACTCATCACTTGATTAAGATATGTCTCCTGTGTTTCATTGTAAAAAAATATTTTGTACTTACTAGTTAATAAATTATTCGTATTAGTTGGCATTTTACTGTAGAGCTTTTTCTTCACTTATTTAATTATTCATATCAGTATGGACTTTATTCAGGATTCTTGTTTTTATTCACTGAGTTAAAATTCATTACTGTCATTATTTATTTTGATGCTCAATTGTCTCGGCTAAAGACAGAATTTTAATCGATATTCACTTTCTGGAACATCAATATACTCCAAGCTTATTTTCTACTTTCCTTACCTCAGCACTCAAATCAGCCATTTCTCCATGGAGCTCTGGTACCTTTTAGTGGAGAATTGTATTCAGAAATCACCCTTACCTGGGGTGTCATTGCTTTTAGGCCTTTCTGGAGGATAGAGCTCATAGATATATGTATGTATATGTATGTGTGTGTATATGTATCTCACATGTATATACACAACTATAACTTTTAATATTTATGTATATTAAAAGCCAGGTGTTCATCCAGATACCTGCAATTCCAATCCAACACCACAGAATTTATTCTAGTCTTCCCCGTTTGCACCTTCGTAAATTGATTCTCTGACCATGAGAAGCCTGCCTCCCGTTATCTTTGGTAAATTTACTTATTTGTTCACTCCTGTTGTACGTAACCAATCTCATCCCCTGCCAGGCAATGACTCCTGAGTTTTGTGGTACCTATATGGGCCACCATTTGTCGGAGAGGGTGAGAGAGTGCTTTTCAGGTTTTCACTAAGTGATTCCATAGCATCATGTCAGCCTTTTAATGCTATGAAGCTTCTCCCAACATTTTTAGCTGTTTTCAACAGGAGTTGTCCAGAATAAAATTGCCCGCAGTTTCTCATAAACTGAACTATTATTTTTATGTGCTCTAGGAGGAGAAAAGTCAGGAAGCTCAACTCTGTTCATTCTTTATTTCCAGTTTTACCTGCATCAGGTTTAGTTGGGGCTCCCCCTGAATTTTGCCAACTCTAGATAAAATCATAAGTTGACCCACTTTCAATATACCTACTATGGAAATGATGGAGAATAAGGGAGTTCAATTGAAATCTCATCTAGAAAAGGAGAGGTACCACGCAGCTCCCACCAGCATAGGTCTACGTTTCCCAAATTTCAGTGTGTGCACATATCACCTGGAAATCATGTTAACATGCTGAGTGTTTCACTTGGTCTGGGGTGAGTCCTGAGATCTCGTATTTTCAACCAATTTCCTGGTGATGTGACACTGCCGTCGGAGGACTGTGCCTTGAGTAACAAGTCTGTAAAGCAGTGGTCCCCAACATTTTTGGCACTAGAAACCAGTGCTCCCATGAGACTAATGCCTCATGATCTGAGGTGGAGCTGAGGCGGTGATGCTAGTGATCAAGCTTCACTCCCTTGCCCGCTACTCACCTGCTATATGGCCTGTTAGGAACTGGGCCAATACCGATCTGCAGTTTGGAGGTTGAGGATCCCTGCTCTAAAGTGTTCACGTTTATTCAGGTGGCCAGCAAGGATACATTAAATATACAACCAGCAAAACTTGAAGGGATTTTAAACCTTTAATTTCATTTGCAGATGTCTACACAGAGTGAATCCCTAAGTACCACTGGTTACCAGTCATAACTTCCCCCACCCCTGACCTTTTCATTCTTAAGAGTATTTTAAAGCAAATCCAGCCATTATGTTAGTGTGCACCTCTAACAGATAAAGGCTTAGAGAAAAATAACCATAGTGTCATCATCACACAAAATGAATAATACATAGAACATAGAATTAACCATCATTTCTTGACAGCATCTAATACTCAGACCATACCCATATTCTCATGCAGGCAATAGATGCGTCCCCTGGCCAGCTACTCCAGTACCCCGAGTTCACTCCTCTTAGTTACCTGGGTACTCCTTAGGGCCAGGCATACAGGTATATTCCTCCCAAAACCATATGCTGCCAATTTCATTCTCTGGAGACCAATGTTTGCTAATAAACAACAGTAGAAGTTTTAAGGTCATGACTTTTGGCCCACCTTCTGGGTCTCCACCCAATTCTCTAGCTTTGAGCCTGGGTCGGTAAACAGGAGCCCAACCGTGAGGCCAGGGAAGTTGGCCCTGCTGCAGGTTGGCAGCCCTGGTGACCTTGATGTAGACATTTGAAAGAGGTTGCTTCAGGAGAGGCTTGCTGGGGTGAGGGGGTTGGTACAGACAGGCTTCCCAAACTCTTCTAGCCTAAACCCCTCCCACTTCTCCCAGACATCTTCCCATTGCCAGCACCTCACTGCATTGTTAATCAGTGTGTTAACTGGGTTGTATGTGGTGATCTGACTCTCCGTCTCCCTAGTCCCTGGCTATAGGCAGAAAGGGCTTCCTTTCATGAAGGATCACACTGAACCTTGTTCCTGCCCTGCTGTCAGGCCCACTCACTGGCAGGGAGCTTGTCTCTCATAGCCTATCCCTGAAATCCATAAGAAGCAGTCAGTTCATTCTATCCCAACATCTTCCTACCAAGTCCTATAACCACAGAACTTGGTTTTAGCCTTTTTCTAATAAGACACAGAACGAAAGTTTAAACCTTGGATACACAACGTAAGAGAACACTTGTAAAACACATCTCATGAGTAACATTTGTGAACCCTTAACTGTCAGCCCTTCAAACCCCGTTCTGTATCCTGGATCAAGGAAGTCAGATTTGAGCTTTGCCTTTTCTTGCCAGTTGACTTGCACATAAAGCTCCTTTTCTTAAAAGCTGGTGCCATAGTATTGGCTTCTATGCACATCAGGTAGTGGACCCTTGTTCAGTAATAGTCTTAAGCCTATGACAGACTCTGAACCTCAAGAGATGACAGTTTCCTGGACAACTGCTTCATGACCAGATAGCAAGGGGTGCCAAACCCCAGCCTGGGGCAGGGAGATCGAGCCTGTGCCCTGCATCCCATCCTGCTTAGCTGGCACCCACAACAAAACCCTCACTGTGACAGTTTCCAGGTTCCAAATTTGGTGCGAGGGCACATTTGACTATATGTAACAAAAAACAAACTCAAAATTATCTCAGCAAAAGGGGTCATTTATTGGAAGGATGTGGCATGGAACAGCTGGTCTCAGGAAAGGTAGAAGAAGGCAGAGCTGCTTCTCAGCTTTCCTCGCTTCTTGTAGGGTGGCTTTTTCCCTCCGAGACCCCCTTCAAAGTAGTGAGAAATGTAGCCCCAACTTTAGGCCTCAGTGCTTACCACATGTTGCAATCCCTTGGGATCTGCCTGAACTCAGACCGTTCCCAGGCCAATTTAAGTTGGGATGTGTCAAATACATACCCAGGGGTGAAAACAGCTGACTTACAGCTCAGGCCCCCAGAGGGACTCTCACAGTTTTCATTCATAATTGGGAGGAGAGGGTCAGGACTCTGCTAAACCCATTTAGGATCAGGTGTCCACCCCCTCTGGCCAGAGGCTGGACAGGTCTCATGAAACAGCCACGCCTAAGGCTTCCCACGGAAGTGCGGCAGCTGCCAGGCCAGAGCCCCACGCCAATTACCCTACAGCAGCTCTTCTCTCCTCCCATCCTCCTGCCCCGCCCTAGTGCCCCCAACAGTCATCTTGTCTGACTTCACCTCTCAGAGGCAAGCTTGTGAACGCTGAGCTATGTCCTTGGGATCTGTGATTTGATGGGAGATGTGGTCAGAAGATGATGGAGGAAGCCAGAACGGAACTGGCTGAGGAGGGCTTAGGGAAGGCAAGAGGCAGTCACTGTCAGCTCTTTCCAGTTGAGAGAGCGGTCAGAGAGCGACTCAGAGTCCAGGGAGGACATTTGGGGTGGGAGAGGCCTGAGCATGAGAGGAGGAGCTGATCTGGGTTAATTTTCTTGATATTCCTCTGAGGACGTCACCCGCGTCTAGACTAAAGGGGTGGTTACCTGTACTTCGAAACCAAAAGCCCTTCTGGCTCTGACAGTACCTCTGTGTGAGGATGGAGCTCCAGCTGCAGTTTCAGGTAGCCTCGGGCCACCCCCTCCCTGCCCCGGTTCAGGAGCGGGATGTAGCAGGCCCCAGCAGACTGGAGAGGAGGACTGGTGGGTGTGGAAAGCGGGCAGCATTGGTGTGGGAGCAGAGCTGGAGCTTCCAGCCTTGCTCAGGACAGTCCTAATGTCTGAAAGGCCCTAACATCCTTCCCCAGTCCCTTCTCCTCTTAGTGAGCGCCTGAAGTTTTTCCCTCCGCTCAGCTCTGATCCTCAGAAGCCAGCTGGAGGGCCTCCCAGGGACTTTCCCCTCTCCCAGGAGGGCTCCCAGGGGCAAGCAAAGCAACCTGGGTGGGGTTGTGTCTCTCTCCAGACTGGGGGCTCCCCAATCCCAGGGCTGGCTCCCAGCACTGGGCCAGGCCTCAGGATGGGTCCTGGTACTAACCCAAGCCATGCTGGGGAGGTTACTGGGCAGGGGGCAGGAGGCCTGATCAGCCTTGGATGTGCTGTGTAACCCACCCTGGACCTCTGTCTCCCCATCTTTATGCCCAACAACCTCAGGGACCAGCTCTGACCTCCCTGAGCCAGGCTCCACCCTAGCTGCGCCAGGAATGGATCAAATGACACCACACTTGGGGCTGGATGTTCACTTTTCTTTCCAAAAAATACCACACACACAGTCTAGGTATGGCAGGGACCAGGGTCAGGCTAGGGACCTGGACATTATACACCCAGGGGCCCCTTGGCGGAGGCAGACAATTTAACAACTGGTCTGAAAGTCAAAAGAGAGGAAAGCTGGTTAGTGGAGTGAGCAGCAGTGGGGGAAATGGGGGTGGGGGGCAGGGGCTGTGGGGTTCAGGCCCAGGGACCGGCCACAGGGTCATACCTGGTCCCTCACAGCAGCACTGCCTGGGGCCCGTTCCCAGGGCTGGGGGTGATGCGGTCCGGCCTAGACTGTGTGGGTGTCCCCGCAGGGCTGGGCATGCTGAAAGAGGCTGAGACCTGAACTCAGAGATAATGGGGCCAAGCCTCTTGGTCTCTCTGAACCTGTTTCCTCATGTGTAATGCGGGGACATTTGTCATCCCGGCACTGCCTCCTTCATCAGGTGGTTGTGAGGAACCTGTGGGCCTGGGGAGGCCAAGGGCTCTGGCCACCCCAGAGCACGGGCCCCAAGGTTCATCTTTATTGCTGTGTCCCCAGGGCCCAGCAGAGTAGACACTCATGTAGCCCTTCAGTGAGTAAATAAGCCACTGGTCAAAGGGCCGGCACCTGGGCTGGTGTGGAAAAACACGTTGGTGCCACGAGGCTGTGCGGACAGGTCCATGCCTGCACCTGCACGTCTGTGTGCTCCTGTGGGCTGGGTCCCACCTCTGTCTGGCCTCTCAGAAGTGTTTAAGTCTGAGTCTCAGAGCAAGGGGAGGTGCCTAAGTTGGGGACAAGCTGCTCAAAGTCCTAAGCGAGCTTGGGGAACACCCTGTGCCCTACTGGCCCTGCCCGGGGTGCTGTAGGGGCCAGCAGAGTGCTGAGTGGGAGACCATTGGCCAGGGCGGGCTCAGACGTACTCTCGGGCGGCAGCTGATGGGCCAGGCCGGTAGGGCTGCGGGCTGCTGTTGGCTCTCTCAGGCTCCGGGCATGTGCAGCAGAGGAAGGAGCCCCCCAGAATGGCCAGGCCAGCAGAGGCCCAGCCCACAAACAGGGCTGGGCCAAACTCGTACCTATAAGGTGTAGAGAGTATGCCATCAGATGTGGCTGCAAACCCAGACCACCTCAGTTTTTCTCAGGGGCTCCGCAGCCTCGGCCTTTGCAGAGGGTGGGCAGAGTGTGGGGAGCTGAGATGGCGGGGGGTGGGGGGTAGGAGGGAGGTTCTCAGAAGTTTCCTCAGCCTCTCCGTATAAGCTGAGAAGAATGCTCATCCTTCTTCTGCCTCCACCCCAGCATGTCAACATCACACAGGGTGACCTAGGCCCAGGGGGGCCTGCTCTGTGCAATCTCGGGCCAGTGGATGGGGTCTGGGAGGGCCTGCAGGTCCCATGGGGAGGAGCAGGGCTATCCCTCCCATTTCTCTCATCTCGGTCTGGTCCACAGAACTCCCAGGCGGGGCTCCCCACTGCCCTCTGGAGAAGGTCAGACCCCTCCGCCTGGCACTCCAGGATCCCCACACATGGTCTCTGCTAACCAGCCAGGCCCCTCTGCAGCTCCCTGAGTCTCCCCACCCCTGTGCCTTTGCACGAGGCACCCCCTCCTGGACTTTCTCCCTTTCTACGCCTTCTGCACTCCCGCCTTCGGGGCCCAGCTCAGATGCCACCTCCTCTAAGGGACTTTCCTAGGCTCCTCTATGCTCGGCTGCCTTGCACTGACTCACTAGGTGACCGTTCAGTCCTTTGCTTGCCTGGCTCCCTGGGGAGGGCCTACAGGGCAGACAGCACCAGATTCATCTGTTTTCCCAGGGCCCAGGACTGGGTTTGCCACACAGGTGACCTTAGGGAATGTTGAAGGGATGAAAAGACGAGTGCCAGCCTGGCATCCCTGAGCTAAACTGCCTCTTGCTTGGCAGAGCTTCGTGGCTAGAGCTGCCAGCTTCAGGGAACAAGCCTCACACCTGAGGTCTCCTTTTCCTCCCTTCTCCACACCTCTGTCTCCTCCAGGAAGCCCTCCTGATTGCAATAGCCCAGGCACCTTTTCTCATCCTCTCTCCGCACCAGGGCCTGAGGCCTGTTGCAATGTCTGGGGTTGAGACTGTACCATTCTCTGCTCCTGGCAGAGCTGAGAGGTGAGGGAAGAGCCGGGAGGGGCCCAGGCCCTTCATAGAACCCCCTATTTGGCTCTCTCGTCCTTGGCCTTGCACATTCTGACCATTCTACCTTCTAAATATCTCTGACCTACTCTCCACTGGCCCAAACCCTCTGCTCCAGGCCTTTGCAACAGCACCTTACGGGTCTTGCCCTCTCCTTACCATTCTTCACACCATAGATGGAGGGACTGTCAGCTGCTTTCTACCCCAGGCTAGGGAACAAAACCTTCCTACAGCTGCAAGGCCCTCCATGATCTGTCCTCCCTCTTCTCCAGCCTCATTCTCACCCCCTTCCTGCAAGAATAACAATAGCTCCACTCACCAGGGCCCAGGCCCTGCATTAAGTCCCTTACCTGAATACCTCATTGAACCCTCACAACTGCACTGGTCTTTCGGTCCTATCTCCATTTTACAGGGAGGAAATCAGGCGCTGAGAGATTAAGGAACTAGCCTGTCACACAGCCAGCAGGAGCAGAGCTGGGATTTAAGCCCAGAGCCAGAGCACTTAGCTCCTGTGGACCTTCTACCCCTTCAGAGGGCCCAGCACACCCTGCCTGGTTCCCTGCTCCAGAGAGGTTTTCAGCGACAGCATCTGGGGCCACATACTGTTTTCCCTTCCGAGTGCCCTACAGGACAAAGGCCAGCGGCCCCAGAGGTGGTGGAGAAGGAGGCCCAGCTTATCCCTTGGCCCACGTCATGCCTGGCACTCACCTAGCATTGACAGGTGTGCTCGGGTTGAAGAACTCCTGGGTCACCAGGGTGGCATACCATGTGACAGCAGTCAAAGTGCAGAGGCCTAAGGACAAAGAAGGGAGTGCTAAGCTCTGCCCCCAGCTAGCCACCGAGGGTGTGGCTACCGGCCATGGCCAAGATGATGGAGAAAGAGCCAGGGCACTCACCTGCCAGGAGGAAGAGGGCACCCCCAGAGATGGCGATGCGGCCCTTGGCAATGGGGTTACTGTCTCCAACCCGGGTGCACTTCATGCCAACGACACTGAGGACCATGGCCACGAAGCCCAGGAGCACGGCCACTACCATCAGGGCTCGTGCAGACTGGATGTGACCTGGGTGGGCGAGAGGGACTGAGCCAGTGGTGGGAGAAGTGGGCGGGTGAGGGGAGCCCAGGATGGGAGGGCCGGGGCAGGAGCTGGAAGTTCCCCCTGGGCTGCCACATGGGCAGGTGTGAGGAGGTAGTGAAGACGGGGTCGAGCTTCTCACATAACCCCGTTGTTCACTCCCCCTCGTAGGCTCCTCCAAGTGGTGTGTAGTGAGTGATCAGGCAGCTAGAGTTCTCTAATCTGCTGCGTTTTGGCTGGGGCCTTTCAGATTTGGCAAAAGGGAGAGCTGAGGGCATTTGAGGCCCAGCTTAGCCCAGGTGGCCCTCAGGCAAGGATGCCTCCCCCACTGGCCATTCTGACTCTGGGCACCTTCCCCTCTGCCCATTGAGTTACCTATGGCAGCCATATAAGCCTGCTGCTCAGTAAGTCCTGGGCCTGGGGACAGCTCAGGGAAACTGGATTCCTGAGGGGGGCCAGATGACCTGCTGGGACCAGAGTCCCAGGGGCCATGCGATGGCAACCCAGCTCTGGCTTGTCGTCCCTGGGTTGGCCATGAGCCAAGAACAGAGCTGCAGTGAACCAGTGACAGAGCTACCTGTTTACTAGCCAACTTGTCAGGTTTACTTCTATTCCCCAGGAGGAAGAGAAAAGGGACCTGTGTGCCCGAGCCCCTGTGTGTACACATCCATGTGCATGTGTGCATGTGCGTGGGTATACCCGCATGCTGGCATGCTTGTCTAGGCGGCAGGACTGGCGTGTGCGCACAAGCGTGTCTGCCTGCAGAGCATGGGGAGAAGTGGAAGGGAGGGTCTTGCCTGAACCTTTCTGAGTGCCGGACACTCATCTCACCTGACCCTCCCATCAACCTATAAAAGTCATAGTATCCCCTTTATAGATGAGGACATAGGAACACAGAGAGGATCAGTGACTCTTTCAAGGTTACAGTGGCAGAGCTGGCCTGCCGTGGGGTACCGGGCTGTCCTAGATTTATAAAAGTGTATAGGGGCGGGGGGCTGGAGCTTGGAGCCCAGTGCAGATGGCAGACTGTGGGAAAGCTTGCTCTAAACTTCCCCCGCCCCACATCCCACCCCCAACCCAGCTGGCATGAGGCCTACCTTCCAGGGCGAGCAGTGAGTCGTAGAGCTTGCACTGCACCTGCCCGGTGCTCTGGGAGGCGCAGGACATCCAGAGCCCTTCATAGAGGCCCACGGCGGTGATGATGGCATCGCCAGCGTAGGAGGACTGCTTCCACTGCGGGAGGGCTGTGCTGGCGATGATGCCCACCCAGCCACCGAGGGCCAGGAAGTAGCCCAGGAGCTGGAGGCCCGAATTGGCCATGGCCCAGGGGAGGGCGCTGGGGGTCCCAGAGCTCAGGGCTGGGCCAGGGTCCCTGGGGGAGCTGGGGTCATGGCCAGGTGAGCGGAGCAGCTGGGCAGGGGGGTGGAGTGCAGCAGTGGTCAGAGAATGAGAAGAAGAGGTGGCAGCCCAGCCAAGGCAGCAGCATAGGCAGCGGCTGGGGCTCTAGAATGCAGGGGGAGGCCCAGGCGCTGGCAAGGCCAGGGGCCCGCCCACAGCAGCTGCCTAAGCCAGGGTAGGGTCCCCAGCAAAGCTCCTGCCCAGCCCCCTGCAAGGGCGGGGCCTTGACCCAGGTGGGTGCCCCCTCCCCGCTCCGCCCCGCCTCCACCCCCCAGGGATAGAGAAGGGAGGGGCTGGGAGAAGGGACCCTGCTCGTCCTCAGGGTCCCTCCTCAGGGAAACCACTTAGGAACCTGATGCCAGTGCCCTAAAATTCTAATTCCTACCCCAAGAACCAGCCCTGAGCTGACGACTTGGATGTTGCGTGGCTGATCTGACCCTGGGGGCTTTCTGTCTCTCTGACTGAAGGACAGAAAGGAAATGGAATTCCAGTCTGCAGCAGGTAAGACCTCAGGGTTGGACAGGACTCTGAAGGCAGATATGGAGAGTGGACTGGCGAAGAGGTTTTAGGGAGAGGGGGTCTAAGGTACCTAGGAGCCATGTGTATTCAAAACAGAAGAGGCCACACTAGGGAATACACACTGTGGGGTCTCTTTGAGATCTGCGGGGGCAGAAGAGGGGCCCCGTCAAGGCTAGGTCAGACCCGGCTGCCAGTCAGCAAAGGTTCTGGCAGGGAGGTAGGAAATAGCACCAACCTTCCAGCATGAGCCTGAAGGAAGGCAGACTGTTCAGCCCGTTCGTTAATCCCCTGTTGGCTGGCTTAGCAGCTCCTGCTGGGGCCGGAGGCACTGGGCCCCGGCCCCCAGCTCCAGAGCATCCTGGAGGGGAGGGAGCCGTGGCCTCTGCACATTCCTGGGGTTCAGGCTTCCCCCTCCTAGCGCCCACCTCCCTCTTCTCTCTCCCATCCCAGCTTAGCCCTCTGGAGCAGGGGAATGTAGCCCTCTGGAGCAGGGGAATGTTTAACTCTCCTCCAGCTCATTAGCAATCCCCTCACGTTCAGTTCAGTTTGGCCATGGGTGCAGGGGGGATATCACAACCCTGCTCCCACTCCCACTAGCCCCCTCCCCTCCGCCCCTGGCTGTCCCCTTCCATCTCCAGAGGCCACCTGCTTTTACTGGACTGTACTGAGGAAAGGCAGAGTCGTGCTGCTGACTCCCCACCTCCTCCGCCTGACCCCCACCCTAGTCAACTTCCTCCCCCACAGCCCTGGCCCTCCTCTGCAGGGACACGTCCCCAGCCTGCACCCTTGCATTCTTCACGTGGCTATGCAAACGAGAGGGTGCCAGGCACTGCTCAGACAATGGCTGCCCTGTGCGCCCGCCCAAGGCGTGGGCCCCTGGTATGGCCTAGAGCTCCAGCCAGTGGGAGCTGGAGAAGCAGCCTGCCCTCTGAAGGGTCAGAGGTGGGTGCTTGCAGTTTCAGACACTGGACCCCCTGTGGCCCTTCCTGCTGGGAAGACCAGAGCCACATGGATCTGTGTAAAGGCTGACGTGCTTCCTGGGAAGGTCTGCAGGTCCCCAAAATCAAACAGGGTCTAAGCAGTTGTAGAGAAGTCAGTCCTGAATTCAGATCCCTCTTCTACCATAGTGAGACAGGTACAATCAAGGGGAGCAGAGGTTATTGCCAGAGGCCAGAAAGGACACTCCTGGGGACCCAGTGAGCACCCTTTCATGCATTAATCATCTCACCTTCCAAGCAGCCCTTCATGATGGGCAATAACCTCTGCAGTCCCTTCATCCACAAGGAGCTGAGGCTGAGGGAGGTAACTTACCCCAAGCTAGGAAACAGCTGGGGAAGCCTTCCCATCAGACCTGTGGGTCCCTGCCAGGTTCACCCCTACCCTCCTTTCTCGGGAGGACTAGGGGGAGGGCAGTCACAGTGTGCTCCCTAGAGGTGAATACTTCCACCCATGGCCTGAGCTGGCTGTGCAGCCTGCACCTTCACCTCTAAACAGGCCAGGCCATCTAGTTTATGGAGTCATGAAGGTCGATAGAGTTGGTCAATGTCTGAGAGAGGGCAGGGCGCCCACACATGGAAGCCACTTGGCGCACGTTATTCCACACAGACCAGGCTCGCTTTTTCTCTGAGCTGGGCCTTGACCCTATACTCCCACCCTTCTCAGAGGCTCTCTCTGTAAGGAAGACCCAGGGGTCATTCTGGTCCCAAGGCCTTGGAATCAAGACCACACAGAAACCGAGTGTCAAGCCACATAGGCTGCTACCCTCTGTTGACAAATGAGAGCCAAAGAGGGGAAGTGAACCACTGTCCCCAGGACCAAGGTCCCAGGGCTCAGAGGCCTTAGTCCTGCCCACACCTCCATCCGGGGCACCCCCAGAGCTTCCCTCACGCAAATGGCTAGAGTCATTGGTGATCCAGACTGATGTTCACATCTCCCTCTGAAGCCCTTCTGTTTATCCCTTCTCTTTGTTATTTGAGGCTTTGAGTCTGTTCTACCAAGACGTCTCCTACCCTAATGGCCTTCCGTCACCAACGTTCCAAAGCCTTTTAGAATTCAGACCCTGGTCCTGGAGTGAAGTTCCCTAACTTGGTGCAGCTTCTTTACCCAGGGCTCCACCACCCCGGTGCTCCCACCCCCCAGCCCAGTGACCCCAGGCCTGTGGGAGACCAGGTAAACTCTGGGCCCCGTCCAGCCTCCATTAGGAGCTAACTGAAAAATGCCCTGGGGTGTCACACTTCATAGTCTAAAAAGTGCTTTTTGCATACATTATAAGAAGCTTAGGGTTCTAGCGTTACCTCTGCCACTGAAAGCTGTATATTAGGCAAGTCCCTTAGCTTCTTCGGGCCTGATTCTTCAACTGAAAAGTAGGGCTAATCCCACTTGCCCTGTTGGGTTCATGACAGTTTATAGGGATCAAATAATGGATGAGAAGTGCTTCTGGAAAACATAATATGCCTGAAGAAATGTGGCTAATGAAAGCTGTCCCCAAAAGACTCCCTCCTGGCTGGGACTCCCCTTTTGTGTCCTCCTGTCCTGGCCGTCGGTGGACTTCCTGTGGCTAAAGACCCACTGGCGCCTCCTGCCTGGCAGTGCCTGGAAGAGAGCGGGCGCTGAGTGGATGTGTGTTGATCATTGACTGGCCGGCATGAGGATTACATGTTTTTGCCTCCCTCCCAGTGGAACACTGGAGCCCTTTCCCGGTCCTCTCCCACTGCTAGTCAGGAGGGTCTGAGTCAGTTGGTTGTTTTCCAGCACATTCTCTGCAGCCACCACCTGAAACGTTGGAGGTGGAGCTAATTTTATTTCCCCTAACTCAGAGCCTTCTGAACCACAAGCTCGAAATGGAGAGCATTTGTCTCAGGCCACACAGCTAGAAAGCAGGACGGCCAGCAATGTGGCCACCCCAGCCATCCTGCCTGTCCAGGGAGGGTCAGGGCCCAGATCTGGGATCCTGGAATGTGCTGCATATTTCCATCCACAGTGCTTGGCCCCGTCTTGCTTCCTTCTCAAGGACTATAAGCGCCTCGTGGCCCTACTACCAGCCTCGTTTCTGTGTCCCATGCCTAACCAAGGGGGGGTGGGGGCACCTCTGTGGCAATCATGGCTGTCTGGCAGTGCTCCATCCTCCTCCCTGAGCACAGGCTCTCTCAGTTCCCTTGCTGAGAGTTCTGCCAGCCGCCTGGGATGCCAGAGACCATGGTCCACGTCCACATCTAACCCCTGTGTGCTGAGCTGCCCCCACCGCCCCGCCAATGCTCCCATGGGCACTCCCTTCATTTCAAGCACACTTGCCCCGTGGCGGACGCACTCTTGCACATGCATTACAAGCACAGGCCGAGTAATCACAGCCCAGTCCCAGCCCGGACCCTGCCATCACCTCCCGCTTCCAGGTCAATTCACCCACCCTAATTGTATACACTTATCCTGGTCTTGTTGCTGTTGAAAACATTTGGCTTTCATGAGCTCAACTGAGACTGTCTGCTGTCTCCATGTGGTTAGCATACATTGAAATGGTGGAGGTCATCTGCCTTGATGTGGAAACTTCTGGAAGACCAGAATCGGGTGGATGTAGTTTTCTGTAATGTTGCGTAACTACTATGTGCTAAACATCACACCAGGTACTTTATGAGCGTTCCCTCATGAATACTCCTGAGCATCCTGAGAGATCAGGACGGTGAACCCATGTCACTGGGGAGGAAATCACTTGGAGGTCACATGACTCTCGGGGATAGAAGTGGGAGTCTCGCCTACTGAGCATGTGGGCGAAGCTCATGCTCTTTCCACTAACGTGGTCCTCTCTCCATAAGGTGAATGAGTCACCAAACAGGACACAGGATCATCAGTGACTAAAGGAGCAGTGACCGTCTCTACGGGATCATTCCCACGAGCATACACACACGTGGTGCTGTCTCCTAGCATAAAAAACAAAGTCCTTCACTTCACATCTCCCTCTAGCTCATCTCTCTGCCCCCAGGAAAAACTAAACTCCCGCAAAGAGCTGTCTATGCCTACTATCGTCACATATCCTCACCCTGTCTCACTCAAACCAACTCCAGCCCATCTTTCGTCCACACCACCTCCCCAAAATATGTTCTCACTGATCTCCATATCATCAAATCCAAAAGTGGATTCTCAGCTCTTTGCTCAGCTGCCCAGCAGCATTTGACACCATCGTTTACTCCCTCCATGAAACACTCCCATCAGCTTCCAGGACGTCCCTCTCAGGTCCCCCACTCATGGGTGGTCCCAATGTCCTCTAGCATGTCACCTCCAGCCAGGCTCAGTCTTCTGACTTTTCCTCTGTCTACAGTGACTACTCCTGGCTTTGAACACCACCCACATGTCAATGATGACTCCCAAAGTCATGGTCCTACCTCCACCTCTCCTTGAACTTCCCACTCACATATCCAACTCTCTATTTGATATTTCCACTTGGATACCTGAAGGGCTTCTTGATCTTAAGCATAACGCATGCAAAAACAAACTCCTGGTTCCCACGTCACCATCCCTCCTGCAGCCTTCCCCGTCATGGGAAGCGGGGCTCTATTTTTCCAACTGCTTAGGCTAGGATCCTTCTTGCTGCTCCTTTTTCTAATGCCATGCAATCCAACAGCAACTCCTGTTGGCTCTCCTTCAATAGATCCAGAAGCTGACCTTTTTCACTGCCAACACTCTGATCCAAACCACAAGTGTTGCTCTCTTTGTCTCCATTCTCACCCCCATAGCCCATTCTTCACTGAGGCCTTTAAGATCTGTCAGTTGCCAGAATCCCCTGCTCAAAACCCTCCAAGGGCTCCTGTTTCACTGAGTCAAAGCCCAAGTGTTCATGGTGGCCGACGAGGCCCCCAAGACTGACCTTGCTGCTCTCTTCGCCCACCCTGTGCCACCACACGGCCTCCTGGCCTTTCCTCTTCCCTAAAGGCCTGACTTACTTTCTCTTCTACTTCAAAGGATTACGTGCACATATGCACACACACATACGCATAAGTACACACGCATATGTGTTTATTACCTGTCTCCTCTACTAAAATATAAGCTCTACGAAGGTAGGGATTTGTTTTGTTTTCTACCATATTCTCAGCGCTGGCACCTAGCTGGTGCTCAACAAATACTGGTTGATTGAATAAATGAGCGATGAGTGCACATTTCCAAACTTACCACCCCACAGCATCTCAAGCCCAGGAGGGGAGATGGGCTTGTGGCCAGAGGAACTGAATCTCCAGTTCTGCTCCTTGTCTGTCTCCTAGAGGTGTGTGTTGTCCTGCACATGGAGGCCCTAAGGTATGTGGACTCTGAGGTCAGATGGCAGAGCAGGCAGCATGTGGCTGACATGGGGGCAATATGCCAGAGCACTGCTGACCAGCTGCTCCCTGCCAAAGAAGGATTAATAATAATCCCTACCATTCATCCAGAGCTTTCCAGTTTACAAAATGCTGTCATATCCGATATTGTATCTGGGCCATACAACTGCCTACATGGTGGGCAGAATGAGGATTATGATCCCCATTATACAGATGACAACCCCAAGGTCCCTGATATTAAGTATCTGGCCTGAGGCTGCACAGGAAGTGGCCAAGCAGAGTACTGAGCCCGGCCTCCTGGCACACCTGCCACTGCATCCTGCTCTGAGCAATTTTTATAAAATGAGACCTCTGGGGCAGGTGAGCATGTTTCTATTCTCTGAACAAACCACTGAGTAAAAAAACACGAATCATTTATTCTTTGGTTGTCTACACAGACACTTAAATACTGTATTGCTGTCATGTGGCTGCCTGAGCAAGCCTCTGGGGGGTGGCTCTGGGCCTGCGTCCTGAGCCCTCAGCCAGGTCCAGAGGTGGGAGGGCCATCCTGCCATGTCCACTCCAAAAGCAGTAGCACCGCGCAGACGACTGTGAGCAGGGTCCCCTTGGCTGGGCAGCAGACATAAGTGCCCCTCTGCTCCATGGCCCCCAGTGGCTGGCCAGTTCAGGGGACAGGACAGAGTTCCTCACAGTGGGTCTAATCATCCATTCATGGTTGGCTGGATGCTGTCAGAGCTCATCCTTGTGCCCTGACTCACTGCTGGAGACAGACTCCTCCACAGGTTTGGGGGGGCCCTGCTGCACTTCCTGGGGCTGCTCCTGGGGGAGGTCCATCTCTTCTGGGGTGAAGAGCATCTTCACCAGGTCGTCCGCCTGCACCCTGTCCTGCAACGACAAACTCCTGCTATTCAGAGAGGCATCTGGACCAAGTACTCACCACGTCTCAGGTACTACTTCCTGGAGAGCAAAAAGGCTCTTCTCCTCAGTGGCCTCTGAGCTCATCTCCTTCCCAATAAGTCCCCCTCTCTGGGCAAAGACAGCTGAGGTAGTGCCCAATGAGGAACCAAGAACCAGGGTCATTCCCCATCTTGGCCTGCCCACCAGGAGCCCCATTATAAGTAGGAAAGAAGGACCAGGGAGGACAAGGCAAAGTGATCACGGTGACAGTGCTGGAGTGAGAAGTCTCCCTGGACTCCCAAGCCCAGTGCTCCTTTCGTGTCTGAGCCATTGGTAAGGGGACTGGGGGAGACGGAAGCAGAACAAGGGCCCTTCCAGGTCACAGCAGTATCAGCTGCTCTCACCCGCTCACTGTGTCTAGCGTCCAAAGTGAACCACAGGGCAATGGCACAGCGTTGCCCTCTGGTGACAGCCTTCACTCCGTGCGGGTTTTCTGTGCCTGAGGAGAATCCCACGGCCCTTCCACACTGGGGCTGCACCTCTGCCTGAAGGGCACAAAGGGGGGACACAGGACAGATTGTAACCTGCCTTCAGAAGAGACATGGGGTCATTAGGTTTCACAATCAAGGATGGCTCCTCAGCCTGGCTTCCCAAAGACCAGAGCTAAAGAGAAAAGGTGACCAGTCAGAGGAGCAATGGACACATCTTAAAGCCCCCCTTTGGGAAGGGGAGGGATGGCCACTAGGAAGACCAACTGGCTGTGACCTGCCTGCTGCATTTTGAGGGTTTCTGTCTCCCAGAGAGGCGGACAAGGGGCACACTCACCGTCACGGTCTTGGCATCTAGTTCAGTGAAATAAAAGTTTCCTCCATCAAAGTCTCCATTTAGGTAAAGAATGGCGCTGAGAAAGACAGAAAGCATCTCAAAACAGACCTTCTCCTCACCCAGCTCCCCAGACAACCCACAGCTCCAGCACCTTCATCTCCAGGTGCTTTCGACCAGCAGCTGGAGAGGGCCTTTCACAGGAAGAAAGCCTTCTAGAACCTCTGAAACTCCACAAATGACTCCCAAATTCCCAGCCCTCCCCTCTCGCCCCACAGAATCCCCATGCCCTTCTCCAAGGTACTTCACTATCCTACTCATTACATTATACTGTAATCATGCCCTTATTATTCAACTTCCCATCCAGAGGGTCTGGGAATAAGGGACTGGACTTTGGAAACAGCTGGTCCCAAATCTGTGTGTGTGGGGGCGGGGAGGGGCAAAGTGCAGGGCACTGGGGGCCTTCAAGTGTGAGCTGGCACCTGTAATCCCGGAAGGTGTAGGCTGGGGGCTCCTTGATGCACACGAGGGCCTCAGCGTTCAGGATGCAGTTGTCCACGTGGACTGGGTGGCTACTGTCCCTCCTCTCAGCCTGTGCCTCTGGGGCCAAGGTAATACATGTGAGCACTGAAGTACCTCAGAAGACATCACAGCTCTCCTATTGGCATGAGGGGCAGGGTGCTTCCCAAAGTGTATCTGGGGCTGCGGGAATGCCCAGTGAATAAGGGGGTCTCTGGCTTAGCCATATCAGCCCAGGGGTCAGGACAGAATCACCTGTATGCCCAATACCATCATTGAAAATCACTGGCCTAAACAAACTCTTGAATGCGGCTCTCCATAATTTGGTTTCTGAGGACCTCGCCAGCCTTATCCGATTGCTCCCTCCTTTAATCTTATTCTCCGGAATGGCAACTTTCTTACTTCCCCCAAATACCGGGTTGCTCAATGCCTCTACTCCTTTGCACATGCTGTTTTCTCTGGCTTGCACATCTTCCCATCATCCTGTGTACTCCACAACTCCTATTCATCCTGCACAACTGTCATCACCTCCTCCATGAAGCCCTCCTGACTCCCTGGGTAGACTGACTGTAACTTCCTCCGCTGCACTTATCACCTTGGGTTGCCACTTATTTGTTTACGTTGGTTCCCAAACTAGGATGAAAGGGACCATATCCTGTTCTCCTCCATGTCCTCAGCATCCAGCCAGGGCCTGCACAGCGTGTGCTCAGCGAAGGCTGCCAGGCTGAAGGAGGCCCACCTTCGATTGCGGTGCGGCACACCAGGTGGGAGTAGGAGAAGTAGAGGGGGGTTTCCAGACGGAAGTAGGACTCCATGACGCGCCGCACCTTCTCCGTCACGTTGTAGTACAGGTGGGCGCTTTGCAGAGGAACTTTCCCTTCCTGTCCCAGCTGCCAAGGAGACCAATGGTCAGCTTCCCTGAATGCCCCTCTGTGGGCCAACAGGGACCGTGGAGAACCCAGAGCCCACTCCTCGTCCCCTGCCACAGGTGCAGCCTCTCTGCTTCCCACATGCAGCACCCTTACTTTATCGCATTTTCCCCTCTCCTTCACACTCCTCTTTATGAATAATTTGTGCATGCTGTGCAGAAAGACAGACCCTGGAGCCAGGCATTCTTCTGAAAGCACTCTCACGGCTTTGGATATCAGTCTTGTCTTGCTTGCCTCATTTTATTATGCTTGGTCTAATAGCCAGGATTCAAAAGTTAACCTCACTCAGCTTAATTTATCCACCCACCACAGTAGCTGGAACGTGGATAGGCAAACTTCTTTAACCCTTCTTACCACCATCCCCAGCTCCTCCCCAAAGCCTGGGCCTCCCCCTCCCCCACTCCACATTCTAGAATGCCAAGAACTGACTCTACCTTGAGGGCTTTGAAGACAGTGACGCCATAGAACTTTTCGTTGGGGGTATGAGGAGAGGTTTGGCCCCGATAGCCATCTCCTGAAGTTGCGGCTGCCTGCAAGGCCCAAAAAGCAGGTAGAGTTAGCCAGGCCAGCTGACCATGTCTTCTGAGGCCCTCAGGCTAGGAAGCACTGAGTGCAGGGAGGCTGGGCCCTCAGGGAGAAGGTGTGGTCACCGGCTCCCTTACATTGGTCAGTCTCTGCAGCTCCCGGCACTCATCTTCAGAGACTACACCGTCCATCACCACCCGCTGGGAACCATTCAAGACTTTGGAATTCATGGTAAGACGGATGCCTTCATAGAGCAGGGGGCCACCTACAAAGCAATAAGACCTGGGTAAATCCAACAGTCATTCTGTCCAGACACTCTCCTTCAGATTCTGCTTCCCTGTGAGGAACAGAAATTCCAACTGTTTCCTGTTCACCAGAGAAATCTTTGGTTCAGTCACTTCCAAAGTTAGGGTGGTCCAGAGGACAGACCTTGGAGCTGAAGGACAAGAAGGAGGTCCTAGTTCTAGTCCTAACTCTACTCCCAAACAGCTGCTGGCTCTTGAACTGTCACAAACTGTTGAGGAAACATCATAAACACATTCCTAAAACGTGAGCTCCAGAATCAGAAGGAACCGGGTTTGACTCTTGGATCCTCCCACTAATGAGCTGTGTGATGTTGGTAAGTTACTTAACCTCCCTGAGCCTTAATTTCCTCATCTGTAATACATCATAAGTGTGATGCCTGTTTGATGTAAAGAACAGGCAAGTTAAAAGTTTAGCCCAATATTTGGCACATAGTAAATGCTCAGGTTTGGCTACCATATAACTACCATCACATCATCATCATCGATTTAAAATGGAAGACCTTACAATCTATCCAACCCACCTCCCAGGCAGTTAACAGAGTAAAAGCACCCTAAAAAACAAAGGAAGTCTGGACAAATTCTTTTCACATGCTAATCTGGTTAAATTAATCACTGATAATTTAAGCAACTGTAGACCAAAGGCCAGCCTTTTTCTTTTCAACTTCTTATGGTGTTTCTCTGTACTGGAGACATCCTAGAGACTCAATCCAATTGTATTTATTTACTGAGGACTCAGTGTGTGCCAGGCACTGTGCTAGGTAAGATGAGGGATTAACACCTCAAGACAGCATCTGCTCCAACAATTATACAAATAACCAGCACAAGGCAGACCTTGTGAAAGTACAAACAAAAGTGCCTTGGAAGTTCAACAGAAAGAGGGAGGGGATCCCAACTGGCCAGAAGATTAAGGAAGGCTTTGCAGGGTGTAGGGTGTATCTGAGATGCTTCACAGGCAGCGATGATGGGAAGTGAATTAAGAGGAGGGATAGGCATGAATAAAGACTTCTGGGCAGAGAGAGGCTCCAGGAACAGGAACAGCCAAGTGTGGATGAAGAGAAGGTGCAACTGGGGGAAGAACAGAACACATGGTTAATGGGGCTGGCAGGGAGGATGCCATCAGAATCCCCATGTCTGGAAGCGTGGGAAGGGGCAAGGACAGACAGGAAGAGGAAAGACCTAGGGCAGACAGGAGCTGCTAGGGCCTGAAGCAGGCCTGAGGCAATGGGAAAAGAAAAGGGTTGGACAGAGAGAGGAGAAACAGCTGAGTCATAATCAGGAGGCCTCCTTGGAGAACTGGAGGCACAGACAAGGAAGGGAAGAAGAACAAAGGAAACCTAAAGATTTTGAGGCTCGGTAACAGGAAGAATGATGGAAGTTGGGAGAAAACAGTTGGGAAGTAGGGAGACAGGATGTGTTTTGTCCTATAAATACTCACCAAAGTGAACTAAATTAGTGTTAATAAGGAGTCTTTTTTATTAACCAGAAACCAATTCTTAGTGCTTTTTCCAGTTGGAAGCCCTGTTGGTGAGTTAGGAAGGACACCGAGGCGGGGTTAAGCCCTGACCCACACTGGCTCAGATCCTGAGGCTGGCCCACAGTAAGCTTGGTGCTGCCAGGAGTGCTGCTCAGCCAGTGTGTGGCTGACCTGCCTTGCTGCCTCCATGACAGCGCAGATGGCCCTGAGCTCTGTCCTCTCACCTTCCCGGGTCAGTCTGCTCACATCCAGGGACTCCTTGGTCTTCTCTTCCACAAGGGTCTCAATTTCTTTCATCAGGTTTCCAATCTCCTGAGAGATGCGGACAGCTGTTTCCCGTTCTGACCTGTGAACACAGCCACTCTGAGGACTGGATTCTGGGGCTGGCCTTGGCTCCCATTCCAACTTCCCAGACTGGACCTTCCCACCCCTTGCCAGGAGTTCACATCTGCCTGGGCTCAGGAAGCCTCAAGTGCTTCATCAGACCGATCCAAGCATGCAGTTTCTTCAAGGTCCTCACTTCTGTTTCTCTTGTAGTCTCTTGGGAATCACCTCCTCTGGAGTCCATGAATCCTAAAAGCAGGTGAAGAAAATATTAACAGAGTAGGGTGATCTACTTAATCTTCCAGGTCTCGATGAATAGAATAGGGTCTACAAAAGAATCTACCTTTATCGCTTGCCTTGTCTCAGCAGATAAAGTGAGAGGTCTCTGAACCATAGTCACCTCTAGCTAGCTGCCCAGAATTCCTCTTTGTCATCCTCTGTCTCTTATCCATGAGTTGCACAGATCCGATGTCAGGTTCAGCCCCCTAACAGTTTTCTTCCCAGAGTCACAGGGCACACCACTCACCCCCATCCTTTGCCCCCTCACACTCCCCCTCCTCCCGCAGCTCCTGTACCCCAACTCACTGGATCAACAAAGGGAATTCCAAAAACATCATAAGCGAAGAAAAGCAATTCTTTCTCCAGCAGGCTTCGCTGTCGGTACTCCTGGGCACTCTGAGGAAACAAAGTGGAAGGAATACCCTGGAAATCAGCTCTGTCAGTAAACTCGGGGGCGTGGGGGAGGCCGCATTCTACATCTTGCTCCCAGTGTGACCTGAGGCTCCTCTCCCACTATTACCAGTATGTCTGTTCCCCAGTCTGGGACAAAAGTCTCACTTCTATGCTCAAGGGTTCCTCTTGCCTGGCTCAAGCAGTTCCTCTGAGGATGGCATAGTCAGGCTCCCCCTGAAGGGAGAAAGCTCCCTTCCTCCCCCTGCCACCCCCACTAATCCTCAAGACAGAAAACCTGATGACTCTCAGGAGATGTGGAAATATTTCTCAAAGGAGAGTTCCTTCTTGACTTCTACAAAAGTTTAATCCTCAGGAAGGAAACCTAGATGTGTTATTCACTGAATCTTTACAGCCACCTTTGAGGTTGATACTATTATCCTCATCAGACGAAGGCACTGAGGTGCAAAGAGGAGATGTGACTTGTTTCAGGTGACACAACAGGAAATGGTAGAGTATGGGCCTGCATTTAACCTAGGTCCTTCCAGTCCTAAAGCCCATGTGCTTTTTATTTTGCCACTGCCTCCTGTCAGACTTGGAACAGACCATGTCCCTCCCTGGAGACAGGCAGCTGCAGCAAGCCCTGTCCACATGTGCTCACAGGTAGGGCTTACCCAGGGCAGGGAAACTAAGTAACTTCCACGGTCACATCTTTCC